CCTGCGTTCAGTTAAGTACTCATAGTTTCAAATATTTTGGAAGCGAAATTATTCATTCTAACATCAAACCATGAAGTTTCTTTAGTCAAATGGTCGGCGGCATAGTTTGCTATTGGGTGCAAAACTTCTGCAGAGAGGCGTTTAGCAGACTTATGATATACATAAAATGTCTATAGTTTTTAAAATGTCTGCTTTTGCTCATTGATAAGTTTGCGAGATAAAAACTTGTCAAATTAGGTCAATTTTAATTGATTAATATCGATTATCAACCTTTTTTGTTTGCATAGTTGTCTTCGACCTGCTTCTGAATTGTTTATTTCTTATGATCTTTGTGGACGTTGGTTTAAGTGAAAAATGATGAAATTATTTTATGCGTTTCAGTTCAATTCAAATTTGAAGTTTTTTTTTCATTTCGTCTCCATTAGAGTTGTTTCATGATGCGTATTTTTTAAATATATCCATTTTAAATATATCCAATAGTTTATTAGTTTTTTCAAATAACAAAATTTCTAAAAGTGAGATATCTTGTCACATTTTGGTTCATCAACTTTTACCACGAAACAAAAGTTTTGTAGAGATCATTTCATTTTAGTGAAAAAATTCCGCGGTAGGTGAAAAATAAATCTTTCGAATAAATAATGAAACTAAAGCAATGTCCTGATATTTTGGTGGTTCAGGACATTGCTTTAGTTTTCACTGCTAAAATATCAGGACATTGCTTTAGTTTCATTATTTTTTATTCGGAAGATTTATTTTTCCACCTACGCGGAAATTTTTCACTTAAAATGAAATGATCTCTACAAAACTTTTGTTTCGTGGTAAAAGTTTGATGAACCAAAATGTGACAAGATATCTCACTTTTAGAAATTTTGTTATTGGAAAAAAACTAATAAACTATTGGATATATTTAAAATAGTTCTTTATTGTGACAAAATTTTGCCAATATAAGAATTTATAATTGATTAGAATTGATTTAAAGAGTTTTTGTAGGAAAGATTATCAAATATAATTTATTGTAAGAGTCCCACAATTATTAGCGGTTTTAAATCTTTTAAACGACTAAATCTGGTAATTGTTCCGACTTTCGATACGAAAGTAACGGAATATTTGTGCTCGGGGTGGGTTTTTTTTTCTTCAGACAAATTTCGACTTTTAACTAGCCACTTTTGACGGAATTTTTTTTATCATTCGAAAGGTATTGTTTTCTTGAGCTCAAATTTGAAAGATATTTTATCTGTGATCATTTTTCGTAAAGTTATGGGGGTTTAAAGGTTGCCATTTTGGCCAATTTGGGACAATTAACGCGCGATATGTTTCGCGCTATTAACGCGTAAGCCAGATTTAATCCGTCTTAGAAATCGTTCCAAATTGGTTTAACGAAGCTTATTTGCCATAAATGATTTGTTACAAGTAGCGAAAGCTATCCTTTTGTACTTTATATGGCGTGTGGGGGGATGATTTTCATAAAAAATTTCAAATTTTAGAAAAAAAAATTTTAATTTTGTTATATATATTTTTTTAATGATATTACTGCTCCATAAACCTAAATAGGTAGTCGAACATTCAGGGCTTCGCCCTGATACGAGCATTTTTGTTATTATGAGTTATAATTGTGAGAAAAACAACAAATTAATTCGTTTAAATCATTATCACGCCAAAACTTGAATGTGGGCGAACAAGTTTTTAAGAAATAGGTTGCAAATAGTGCGTGTCTTTATCGTCTGATGTTTGACTAATTTATTATTTAAACAGTCAAAATTTGTAAGTTTTTGCATTATTTGCTATTATGGAAACTCTTAGTTGTCAAAGTTATAAAGGTATCCCCTTGAAAATACAGTTGGGGTAAACATTTTAGAGTTCGTGATTATGTTGCCGACTTTAAGCGAACAAGATTGCGATTTTGAGCGACATACGGTGCCCCATTGCACGACCCATCTTACAAACTTTATAGAATCATCTTTAGATCTTTCAGTATTGCGCAACTTTGCGTGACTTTGCGCAACCATACTTAATTATGCTGCAATTTTGCGCGAACCAAACCTCTGCGTGAGAATTTTTCGAGGATTTTTGGACATCATTTTTGGCACCATGGAGAAGTCTGGTTCAAAAATTTAGATTGCGGAAAGCTTAGTGTCGGCTAATGTTGTGCAACGAGGCACGTAACCATTACACTTTTCGTTTTTTCTGCTAGTGTTTTCACTATATTCAACCACTGTTAGCTGGATTTAGGACTCTGAGATTTGCTTAATGAGTTCTAACTGGTCATGGTCTTATGTTTTGAAAACCTCTGTCTTCAGTTTTTTATGTTGATGACCTTATAAAAGGGCTCCAAGACAAATTAAAAGAAAACGAGACAAAATTTTTTGGAGCAAAATGAACAGTTTGAATGTTTTTTTTTGTATCGTTCGAATGGGGGAAATGCGCTCTATTTAAAAGTGAAAACTTTTTGAGGGTGATTAATCTATATTATGTGAAACTCTTGCCAATAAACTCCGCATTGCGCTATCGCAATTGAAACCGCTGTTTGAACAGGAAATCAATATATTTTTGGAACCCATACCTTTTGATAGCTTTTTAGTAATGAATAATAAAATCAAAACAAGACTGCTCGTATCAGGGCGAATCCCTGAATGTTCCGACTGCCTTTTAAGGTTTATGGAGCAGTAATAACATTAAAAAATTCAATGAAACAAAACAAAATCAAAAAAAAAAATTCTAAAATTTGAGATTTTTTATGAAAATCATCCCCCCACACGCCATATAAAGTACAAAAGGATAGATTTCGCTCCTTGAAACAAATCAATTATGGCAAACAAGCTTCTTTCAACCAATTTGGAACGATTTATAAGACGGATTAAATCTCCGCTTACGCGTTAATAGCGCGAAATATATCGCGCGTTAATTGTCCAAATTGGCCAAAATGGCAATCTTTAAACCCCCGTAACTTTACGAAAAATGATCACAGGTGAAATATCTTTTCAAATTTGAGCTCAAGACAACAATACCTTTCGAATGATGTAAAATTCCGTCAAAAATTCCGTCAGAAATTCCGTCAAAAATGGCTAGTTAAAAAGTCGAAATTTGTCTGAAGAAAAAAAACCCACCCCGAGCACAAATATTCCGTTACTTTCGTATCGAAAGTCGGAACAATAAAAACTGAAAATAACCATGCAGCTCCATCAAACAGAAACTTTTAGACTGGAATTTATTGCTGCGATTCTCTAGTTCGTTTGTAAGTTTTCAAGTTGCACCCTATTGACATTTCAAAGCTTAATTTTAAAGAAAAAGAACTCGTTGTTCATTTCGGCGACAGTTTGGATAGCAAACTGTATGGATTGTATCCGAAAGCAAGATAGTCGAGTCTGTACTTCCAGATGAACTTCTTCATCAGTTTCGGATCTAACTGGAGATAGATGTCATTCATTGCTTTTCCTGTGGTGTTTTTCAAGCTTACATTCGTAGACACCTGGTCTTTTGGATCGAAAGGAATTTTCATGTGTAAACTAGTTTGACGATTGATTATTGCATCCATATCAGATATCATTGTCTCGGTTCTTCCTAGATAACTGACGTTGAGAGAACAAGGGTTGCATAATTGATACTGTGGTTTGAAGTGGCGATCTGTGACGTCATTTTTAATCAAGTGCTCAAAATATTCAACAATGGTCCAATTTCTACCGTTGAAATAATTTTCTTTCTTAACTTTGTTGTAATATGCCGACACAGCACGCTCAAACGGATCTCTCACGAACATAAAGCCGAACCAAAACTCAGCCGCCATAAGTCTTTTGAGTTTTTTACAATTCGTTTTGGTAACTTTAGGGTCAAGAGCTGGATGCGGTATCTTAAGCCTATGAAGGACATCTGAGTCATGAAAATAAGGCCAGAAGAAAACTCCACGAGTTGAAGTACCTAAACATACATGCACACATAATTGAAACTTTGTGAATTGCCATTTAATTTTTACATTCCTAAAATTTGAGTACACCAAACAAAACCACAGCTCTAAGCTTTGAAATAGTAATTGTGTAGTTTTCTAGCAAATAGAATTTCAAACAGTAGCCGATCCATTTGGCCGCCGCTGTATGCTAATTTTGAGAGGGAACAATGTGCCGATTGGCCTGTTTTTTTGAAAAATTTGTCTGCGGTGCAAAAAATATGTGGTCAAAATTTGGTCTTCTTGTTTCATGACGTATGATTCATTATTATAGGCGAATGATTTATCATTGCGAATCATTATTAATTTTCATCGGATTCCGCGCACAACTACCTGTAACGTAAATTTTGTTGGCACATCAATTTTTCGCGGATTTCACTACGAGCGAAATTAGCAAGCTGTTCTGGTTTCCGCGAATTGTTGGCGCAGAACTACATTTTGCCGCGGAGAAGTTATACAAAAAGCTTACATAATGAGTTACCTAAGTTTACATAATAATTACATAAAAAATACGGCAACTTACGGACAATGCCATAGCAGGTGAGAAAATCGTCAGATAAATTTGTATGAACTACAGAGCCATTAACTCTAATTCATAGTATTGAAAAGAAATTTTTTTCTTGAAAAGAAATTTTTTTTTGAAAAGAAGAAGTTTAACAGCTGGAACCTGGTCCAAACTATATATTATTTTTGGTTATAAATTAGATATTTTATCCCTATAAAATATTAAAGACTAACCAATCACACTCCATCTAACTAACAACCCATTTATTTGTAAGTGCTGAAATTACTTGTAATTTCAGCACCAGAGCATTCTGAATTTAACTTACAACTTAGTTGCCTTTTCCAAGAGACCGACTCGTAACAAACCAGTATACTCTAGATCTATTGAGACTAAGAGATATAAGAGTAAGATTAAGATCGGTATTAGACTAAGAAGTTGCACGAATCTATCCGGCCGAAAATAAGATAGCGTGACGAGCAGACGGTGTACCCTATCTGAAATTAATCTATGAGTTAGAGATACATCCCAACTAACAGCTCATGATGGACTGTTTGGTCGTTTTTTTCTTGAAAAAAACTTAAAAATAACTTCAATTTGAGAAAACAGAAAATAATATTGGGTTGAAAGTTTGATTTAATTTATCTAATTGGAAAAACTCATCTAATACTTAAAAAAAAAACACGACAAGTTTTTTGTTTTTGCGTTGCTACTAAAGCTCGCATAAAACACTAGTTTTTCGAAATCAAAATAAAGGTCAAGTGAGTTATAAATCATGAGAAAATGTGAAATAAAAGCATGAATTTACCAATTTTTCTCGATTAAACTTTGCTTGCCAGATGCAACAACACAATTAATTTTAGAAATAGTGAAAACGTTTTTGATAGAAATTGTTAGTTCAAAAGTGATAAATGCGATATTGCTATAACTTTCCAAAAGTTGTATTGTCAAAAATTGTCTTATGGTGTTGATTAGTAATTAAGTAGAATTCTTCACCGAGCGGATTTTCAAATAATATAATAATTTTGGAGTATTGTTTGGCATTTGGTTGACTAAATTTTATTTATGAGACCTTCCAAACTTTCAGAGAGATACAATTTTATAAAAATTGGGTTGTTGGTGGATTGAAAAACAACAGGCTAAAAAGCTGATTCATTATAAATAATTAAACAACCGGGTTAACAATAAATGCTTGTCATACAATTCCATACTATTTTAAAAAATGCTTATCATAAAATTCCATACAATTACTAGCATGACAAGCATTATATAAAAAAAGCATGGCAAGCATTTTTTTCCATATTGTGGAATTCTATGACAAGCATTGTTTCAATATGATACAATATGACGTTTCATTTTATGTTTATGCGTTTTGCACTGAAGCACAACAAACGAAACCGAAAGTTTTCTCCAATGAGAAAACCAGCAGACTAAACGACACTACAGCTGCGGATTCAATTACGTATATATAGATGGCAAGTAACCTAAACTACTGACATTTTTTCAGTATTATATCAAACAAAAGTAGTTTTTGTATATGACTTTGAAACTTCTGTTTTGAACAATTCAGTGGTTGAAAATTATGGCTTGATTTAAGTAAAAGTAGTCTAACCACTAAAACGAGAATTAAATACATTTTTTGTTCCGACTTTCGATACGAAAGTAACGGAATATTTGTGCTCGGGGTGGGTTTTTTTTTCTTCAGACAAACTTCGACTTATTAACTAGGCTATTTTGACGGAATTTTTTTATATCATTCAAAAGGTATTGTTGTCCTGAGCTTAAATTTGAAAAGATATTTCACCTGTGATCATTTTTTGTAAAGTTATGAGGGTTCAAAGATTTCCATTTTGGCCATTTTGACCAATTTGGGACAATTAACGCGCAATATAATTCGCGCTTGTAACGCGTAAGCGGAGATTTAATCCGTCTTATAAATCGTTCCAAATTGGTCGAATGAAGCTTAATTGCCATAATTGATTTGTTACAAGGAACGAAATCTATCTTTTTGTACTTTATATGGCGTGTGGGGTGATGTTTTTCATAAAAAATTTCAAATTTTAGAAAAAAAAACTTCAATTTATTTTAATTCATTTATTTTTTTTATGTATTACTGCTGCTCAATAAACCTGAAAAGGCAGTCGGAACATTCAGGGCTTCGCCGTGATACGAGCAGTCTTGTCTTAGCTTTGAAATCTTTTTAAGAAAAAAATGCTTATCATACTGTCTTCAATGCAAAAAAATTGAAACTTTTGTTAAACAAAATTTTTTTCGTTGAGCAAAAACGTCAATAAATTTCCTCAAGTTTATTTAGGATTTTTTGCATGAAATAATTGCTTGTCATACTATGCTCTTAAACGGAATAATGTGATATGCATTTTTTATTATGGAAATCAACCTGGGCTTGAGGGAAACTTTGGATGTTGAGATTTCCAGTCTTTTAAAGAACCCGGCCAATTCCACTCCTGATCCGGTAACGAACTGTTTGAATGGAAAGACTAATTATTGTTTCGAATTTCGAAGAAAGTGCGGAATGTTTATGCATGGTGTGGTTTGCTTGAGATGCTTGGTACGCTTGGTGTGCTATTCAGTCAATTTTCGACTTTTTAAGCAAGCGTTGTTGACAAAACTTTCCGTACCTTCTGAAAAATATTGTTGTCTTGAGCTCAAAATTTTAAAGGTATTTTACCTGTGATCATTTTTTGTATAGCTCCGGGTGTTTGAAAATTTCTAACTTGGCATATTTGGGACAATGAAATTGCGCTATATTGCGCTCTTATAACATGAGCGTTCAACAGTGCGTTTAGTGCACCGAAGCTGAAATGGTGTTCAATAGGAAAGTAGACGGAAAAAAGTTAAGAACTAGCCATAAATTGATGAAAACGAAAACACTAATTGTAAAAATTAATCATCATGATGAACTTCGGCTACTTTTTTTTCTCTATATTCTCTCTATTTCTTTTTTTGACTGGTTTTAAGCTCTGCTGTTTTTTTTTTGGCTTAAATGAATGCATTTGGGAAAGACTGGTTTTAAACGAATTTGATTCTTCCTGAGTAATTCCTTGTCCAAAACCATAACGTGAGTATACTAAAACTTGTATGTAACATTTCTAGAACTTTGTTTGGATATACAAGAGGCTTCTTGTACTATAATTTTCTCGTCTATTAACAATGTTTTTTCAGAGTAATTTTAGATTAATTAAAATTAAGCTAAGGTGAGCCATTCGTGGGGTAAAATTTTGGCTGCGAGTTTCGAAAAATAAATGGAAACATATTAATTCCGGTGAAATTCTCAGCAACTGTTTTTGTTTTTTTTTGTTGTCTAATCTTAACCCAATTTGAGAAAAACGCGTTTGGAAATTCAAGTTTTGTTCGTTTTGTCCGGATAAATTAAATCAACACTTTATACTGTGCTGAATTAAATTATTCAGCCAAAACGAAAAAAAACTTGAAACTTAAAACGCGTTATTCTTAATTTGGGTTGATTGTAGACAAAAAACAAAAAAGACAGAAAATACTCAAGTTTTTGGCAGCGTTATTATAGTGCAAATTATTGTGCATATTATGGGCAATTTTTTTTCACCCCAAAACGGATCATTTTTGGCTTTTTCAGTTTTTTTTTCATTTTTTTATTTATCCCCCAAAAACTTATGTAAACTATGAAGGGATATAATAAGCGTCTTCGAATCGTAATAGTATGACCAAATGACTCGGCTCAATTGAAAGTGAAAACCGCACTAGATTTTCATGTAAAAAGTTTGATTACAATGGATTATTTTGGTATCCGCCCACACACTCCCTTCATGGCACTTTTCACAGTTTACCACCCACAAGGTTCTACGGCTTTTTTTCATCTATATTTTGATGAAAACGAAGTCAATTCAGTGTCTGAGCAAGGATTGAAAAGTTGACAATTTCTTAAACTGTCTCCGACAAGAGAACTAGTCTTTTGTTGTTGTTCCGACTTTCGATACGAAAGTAACGGAATATTTGTGCTCGGGGTGGGTTTTTTTCTTCAGACAAATTTCGACTTTTTAACTAGCCATTTTTGACGGAATTTTTTTTATCATTCGAAAGGTATTGTTGTCCTGAGCTCAAATTTGAAAAGATATTTCACCTGTGATTATTTTTCGTAAAATTATGAGGGTTTAAAGATTGCCATTTTGGCCATTTTGACCAATTTGGGACAATTAACGCGCGATATATTCCGCGCTATTAACGCGTAATCGGAGAGTTAATCCGTCTTAGAAATCGTTCCAAATTAGTTAAAAGAAGTTTATTTGCCATAATTGGTTTGTTGCAAGGAGCGAAATCTATCCTTTTGTACTTAATATGGCGTGTG